ATAAGAATTTGGTTTCTGACCCTGTCATCGTCTACCTGTGTGACAAGTCAAGCGAAATCTTTGCCTAGGTTTTGACACATGAACAAGCAATTAGATGGAAATAAGTTACCCCATATAGATTTTCTGCAGTATTTCTGCACTCATCCTTGAACTTCAGCACTATCTAGTTGCAATAGTGCAAAACAACTTTGTAGTTTACAGCTCAGAGAATGGACTGGACAAGTTGGAATTAATCCAAGAATTCGCGTCTTGAACAGTGGCCTGCTTGGCCTTTTGGCAACACACAGCGAGTCTGATATTTTTTAAAATAACAATGTCTCAAACATTTGTGCTTAATGTTAATATAAATTAAGTCTGGCTACATTTTTTAGGGTTACTGTCTAACGACATGCATGATCCTGCTATGAGCTCTGCCAAGGTGATCTCTGTGGCTGTGGTGAGTCCATCAGTGCAGAACCTGTTGCAAGAAAAAGGCCTCAACATTTTGAATGCTGTTAAAGTAGACAAATATAACTGTATGAAGCCAAAGATAATTGTTTAAGAAGTAATCTTGATTGATATCAACTGGAACTAAGATGTTTGTTCTAATTTACAGATGAATTTTAGCATGTTAAGAGGTGTCAAATTTTCTTAATGTTCTCAAGGAGCTATATAATGAGCTATATAATGAGCTTAAGGAGCTATATATAGTTAAATGTGTAAATATCTTCAAATATGAAAACTCAGTAAATATTACTGATTGTAATTGTTAAAAAGGAGGATTATTTTCAGATTCACAAAACAATAAAACAAACTTTACAAAAATTAAGTCAATGGAGTATGATACAACTTCACAGCATATGGGAATAAATTTACAGTGTATAATTTTCATGCCGGAATTCTTGGGTTATCAGATAATGTATTTCCTTTCAATGATTATTCTGCAAGCCATATTTAGGCCTTCTTACAATAGAAGCTTCACTGTGTGTTTCAATACACAGACTATTCTGTGTGTTCTTCACCCATCTACATAGTAGCTTTCTTTTTTAGATTGGGGCAGTTAGAATAAGGAAAATGATTTGTTTCATTCACGTGTTTGGCAAAAATATTCTCAGTCACTGAAGTCTCTCTACGTTAAAGATAAAGGAAGTAGCAGCAGTAAATGAGATTAAATATTTGTCTAGAACTTAATACTTCATGATAGTTGAACAACTTGTTATTTGTATTAGCTGAAAAGATTCTTCAACCAGTATTTTAATATGAATAATTATGTGCTGAATAGATCTATAACAGCATGTCTGTGTTTCTACTTCTTAAAATCAGGAGCTGCTCTTACAAGCAGAAGTCCTCATTTTCATTTATAGGAAAAATTCCACACTTTTTTTCTTAGTGGAAAAGAGATTTAAAGGAGAAGTACACAAATATAAGAGTAAAGCTCATTATGCTACTAAAGGTAGCAAAGAATTCAGGCAAGGAGGACCAGTCCTAGGTTCTGGAGATAGTAGTTGTAAGAAGAGGCTGAGAAAGCAGCAGCAGGCAAGGAAGCATCTTAAGAGAAAAGGAAAGGAAAAGATCACAAGCCCAAGTCTGTTTATAAGGGGAAGGTGATATACTGAAACAGAAAAGGGTTGGTGAAATACCAGTGGATCAGCTGCAGGCAGTCCACTGCAGGCAGCTGCATGGATGCCCACAGAACAGAAAGAACAGGGACTGCCAAAGCCACAGTTACGATTACAGAAGAATTTATAACCCATCTGATCCAATTTATAGGTTAGTCATTTGCTTTATGTAGCCATGGCATTTCTGATCTGGTCTTGAATGATAAAACGACTTTGACTGTTTGGCTAACCACCATCTTATTGTAAACAAGCCCCTGACACTAGCTATTATGTATTATGCCCTAGAAAGCTTCTCTTTAGTATGCACGCATCTCAGACTGCCCGTGCAAAGCAAAAGATGAAGACTAAAACATCTACTTATTAGAAAATTAAGTTAAAATTCCACAATTAAATGAATGAAACATTTAAGAATGAAGTGAGGATAACTTATTTTTTGCAAGAGTTTCTAGGTGATATAAATTTTAACCTGTGAAACCCAAAGAAAGGGTTACGGATCAGCTAGAGCAGAATGCCACCATTGCACCCCATGTCAGTGAGCTTTTGCAACCACCAGCTATCCCTGTTGTTTGTGAAGATATTATGAAAGCAAACAGTCAGTGTTATGTGAGCCGGAAAAAAGACCTAGCTATTAAATTGAATTCCAGTTCTACCTTGGACTTATTTTATCCCATTTTCCCAAATTCTAGTCAGTTTTAAAGGATGTGGGGGGGCGGTGGCCCTTAAAGTTCAAATGGGAGGATGTTTTATTTGTTTGCATGACTAAGCCTCTGCAGTAGCTAGGCTTAAGTGCTGTAGTTAAAGGAGCACTGTAAAGTCTGAGAGGCACTTTTAGAAGACAGAAGGATCCTTCTCCTCCTCCCCACCCCCAAATTGTGCTGTGATAGAATCATGTGGCTGGATGTAAGATATGATTGCATAATTATGAAAGTTGGCTTGCATTTCTTCCAGAGGAACTGCAAGAGAGAATCATTCCTCAGAACAAAATATTGCGATTTAGGCAAGCTTTCTTGTCTTGTCTTGTCTCTTTTTTGTAGTAAACAGAACATATTTTAGATTAGGATATCATTAGATTGGACCAATATTTTTTGGACAGATGGTCATTTTCACTGGCACAATTGTTATCACCGTTCGTATAAATTGGTTGATTTGTGGATGGATGCTCAGAGTCCGAAGAAGGGGGAAGCAATAAACTAAACTGCTGCTTAGTCCTCAAGGCTAGAATAATTGACAGAATCAATCTTTTACCCTGTTGGAGATATGCAGAGAATTTTGCTCCCTCCAGGTTGTTCAGTACAGAACTGAAATACAGTTTTTTAAGAAGTTGTTTTTATTTACATTTCCTTACAAGACTTTCTTATTTTTTTCATTTCTGAGTGCAATTTTTTAAAGTTATGAGTCCTGAGAGTTTCTAACGCTCATTTGAAAGCTTCCGTCCGTCTTGTGGAGGTCCGCACCTGACACTCAGGGCTTGAAGGTTGTCTTTTGGTGCTTACTCCTGTACTTCCCTGGTAGGTCAGTTTAGAGGCCACAATGAATATTAAAGTGTCATGGGATCCCTTTATATGCAGTCGGAGGTCACAACTAAAAGGACCTGTGCAGACTACACACAAAACCTTCAGAGTCATTTTGAGAACTTCTGTTAGCGTATTTATTGTGCCAAAGTTTCCTAGTCTCACCTTGTCTGCTGGCACGACATGCCTTCTCTCCAGCTGAACAGATTGTCTGACGATCAAAGGCTTTATTTTTCTTTTAGTCAGACCGTGATAGGATTTTGAGAAGTTCACTCAATTCAATGACTTCCTATTAGTGAGAGATTCTAATCTAGGATCTTTGGGCCTTGGGGAAAGTAAGTTTTGTTTCACTTGTTAAAGTAAGAAAGGAAAAAAATATATAATGTACAGTCTCCTTTTTCTGTAGTCCACAAGGAAAATGAGGGACTGCCCTCATCCATATTAACACGAAAAGAGGTTCCCAGGTTCCACAGACCACCATGCCATTAATCTCATTGAATTCCTTTCCAAACCTCATTCTCACCCAAGACGAAAGTGTATTCCATTTACTAGATGTGTGTGTTGTGAGCTTTTTTCTTTTTCTTTTTCTTTTTTTTTTTTTTTGATTCGACTATGGGATTTGGTAAGTCAGCAAGTCTTTTTGTACATTTGGGGATCAGTGTAAAGAAAATGCTATTTCCGCTCGGTGCTGTGTCAGTGGATTAGGCAGCGCATCAAAACATATATAGTAGCTTGAGTGATAATACCTCCAGGTCTCATAGCTCTGCTGGGACTATGATAGCTTTCTGGATGCTACCTGAGATTCTTACACATATTTTTCATCACAGCACTCTTTATGTCTGATACTCTTTATGTGATAGGAATTGTGCAATCATTCACTAATTGGTTCATCTCCTTGACAACATTATCTAGAGCGCGCTAATGGAAAGAAAGTGAAGAGCCCACTTGAAAAAAGGAAAGTTCATGTACAGTACCATACCAACAGTCATTCTTGAAGTGTTTTGTGTTTGTTTAAGTTCCCCTGCAGAGTCCAGCTTTTAGTGGAGTCTTGGGTTTAGCCAAAGAAACCCAAGACCCTGATTGGTCTCATGGCCCATTTGTAACTGTAGCATTAAGTATTTGGTGCCACAGGAAACAACTCAAAGAGGTCTATTGGTTACTGTGTTTCAGAAGGTTCCCAATGCTCCTGAAATATCACACATTCACAAGCGTGACTGTCCAGATGGATCACTCAAAAAACACCCAGCAAATAGTTCATAATTACAGTCAATTTACATAATATTTAAATTCATATATCTTATATGCTTCGCATCTGCTGTTTTGTCAGTTATTAATTGATTTAATAGAAGTGCTTTGTCTTTATTGGGAAAGAGACATCATTTTTGATATTTAGCATTCTAAGCAGAGCCTGCAAGTATATGGTGCTGAAAACTTTTTCTTGACTTTTTTGGTTCTTCCTAATGTGCAGTGTGTAAAAAAGTTAGGCCCCAAAGTAAAATTCTCATATTTATAAGCCAGATCTGGAAATAGTGGCTTCACTTTTGCATGTGTCAAGGTAATAACCACACAGTAAAAATTAACTATAACACATATATGAGAAGCACCAAGTGCAAAATTATTCACTAAGGTGAGACCAGCTGTAAATTCAAGCACAGATACTGATTTGGCTCTGCTCGTATATACATATATATATAAAAATAAATAAACATTTTTTATCCTATTCATTCCCATGTATCATTCATTTTGTTGCTGTTGAGAACTACAACTTACAAATAACAAATTATCACCAATGCTAAGCTCCTTTACTACTTAATTTCCAAAATACTTGCAATTTCACTGGTGATAGAGGGTAATTAATTTACACATGTGGTTTCTTTCCTTCTTTTCATAGTGCTAAGGTTCCATCTGCCATCAGATGTCTTTCTGCCTGGCTGAGTTGCACCTATGGTCTTTGAAGAATACCTTACATATTAGAGGTAAGAGAGCTGTTACCTGTTACTAAAATAAAAGAACAAATCCTATTGGTGAATATCAAACTGATATAAAATTCCAAAAAATGAAGTGGTTTTTATACTTAGGAGAAAGAAAATTAGACAGAAATATTATGTTTGAACCTTGTCAACTTCTATACTTATCTCTTCTTAGAACTGGAGCATCATTTCAACTCTAAAATGTTAAGATTATATTTAATTGGATGCATTTTCCCTTTTAGGAAGCTATGGCCTGCTTGACTGTAGGCTTCAGTGTAATGACTAGGTTGGGTGAATGAAGATCTATAGTCGAGTTGATTTGCAGAGGCATTGTGATTTGTTCTTCAGCATAAATAATAAAAATTGCTGCATGTTCTGTTTTGCAGGATTACTTGAAATTTTATAGTTACAAGGATATATTTATCTTATCCATTGATTGTTTCAGGAGACATATGACTAATTACCAGCCATGTGAAAATTACATATCTTGGCTTGTTACTGGTAAAATCTAATGCTCGAAAAAAACCCACTGGTTTAGAAGTGGATGATGCCAAAATGTTGTTTCTGTCATTTCATGCCAATCATAGTATACTGTAGTATACTATGCATGAATCTGATTATTGAAATACTGACTCAATATGTCTCTGTATGCCTCAATACCGCCTCTGTATGAAATCTGTTCTGTAATAATAATGTAAAAAAATCAAAAAGCTATATTTCGTGCAAAAATCTGGTATTTTGAATAATACATAGTTGTGATTTATTGCAGTTAAAAGCGTACTCTGGCCTACTGCACCTATTTCCTACTTTTGACCTTCTTGCTTCCTCTCTACTCATTTGTTCATTTCCCACACGTCTTACTCTAAAATTCTGTGTCTTATTAATGTTAAAACATTACAACTGAAAGTCATAGTAGCTCAGCTAGACTTACGTAGTGGAGTTTACCATGGCACACCTAAGTATCTACCAATGAGCCACATCAGGAACCGACTGAAGTGGTTTGCAGTCCCCATGTGGTCCACGTATCTGAATTTCTTTGCCATGGAAACCAGGACAACAGAGGTAGACGCTCTGTATCTGGTGCACGCTTAGGTCTCATGTTAGTAGGGAGCCAGTGTACGGCCAGGGTTTGCCCTCAGCCACAGGAACTGAAAAGTGCTCTTGCGTCTGGTAATACAAAGATAGACAGTAACAACTATAGCTAAGAGTAAATATATTGGATCCTTTGAAAGGGCAGCTTCATGGAGTTCCTGAATCTTAAAAAAAAATTATTGTCTTCAGCTCAGCTGTGTCAGTCATCAGAAAGCATTTTAAATTATTCTAAGGTATGCTCTTTCTGTGATCCTCTCCTCATGAACGAACAGGAAAGACGATAATTAGGAAGGTGGTAAAAAAATACTTTTCCACGTCAGCAGCTGGAAGAGTATCAGAAGGTATGTGAAGGAAGTGACAGCTCCAAATTAATGTAGGGACCCGTCATACTCCTTCAGCCCTTCCGTGCTGGTTCTTGAGCGTCTGCTGGTATGCAGACTATATGCTGTCGTTTCTTCACACTATCGTGTATTTAAAAACCTAATACTCTGCTCCGGCTAGCAAAAACTGAAATGTTGAAATTTGCTTGCTAGGCTGTGTTTTGTTTCCGGTGTCACATTCCATAATTAAATATATTTCTATTCAATTATATAGATGAAGATATTGGGATCCACCAGTACTACGACAAGAAAGAACCAGGTAAAATATAAATACTTAACCGTAAATAAAACTAAGCAGAGTTGTCTAATGTTCAGTCTACTTTGATACAAACTGTTTGGTTATTTGAAAGTTCAACTTTGAATTTCATGTTAATAGACGCCTCTGTAAATAACAAACTTTTTTGTCATTAAAAACCCTAGCGGGAGCATACATTCTGCATGACACCTTTCTATCTGCTGCAGAGTATTGAAACGACACGCTAACATCATGTTAAGGGACTGTGCTGTTCAAGGCGCTGGGTAGTGCCGTAATTCTGTATTGCCTGGAATCCCAGCAGAGGGCACCGTGAGCGCGCGAGAACCCGCAGCCTTGGCCTCCTGGAGCCTTACCTGATATCTGAAATAGCCATTTCAGAGTGAATGATCAATTTTCTTTATCTGATTAATCCTGTTAATCCTAGAAGTTTCATGATGGGCCAAAAGGTCTTTTCAGCTAGAGTTACTTCCCGTTTCTGGCCAGGTGAAAGTGGAGGCTGGCGTGGGCATCCCTGGTACTTGGTTAATACGCCGCCTCCCTGCTTCTGCTGACAGACTGGCTCAGCTTCTCTTCTGGGTTCGGTTGCAGCTCACTTCACTGTCTGATCAGATTGGAGGCTCAGTAATAGCAGCCCACCTGTTGGGCTGCATAAGCCTTTCTTTCACTGCAAATTTAAGATATCTGACTTATGAGGTGAAAACATCAGGACTGTCTTAATTTTTTGTCAATTTCTCTGTTTTATCAACATGTATGAATCTTCTCTCTAATATTAATATTTGCTGACAGCAGTTGTAAGGATTATCATTCATCTTTTCATCCTTCCCTTTAGTATCGCAGATGAAGCATGGTTACTTAGAAGAGAAGCAAAAGCTGGCAGAATGTAAGGACATTTCTGTGTTTCTTGTTATAGTAAGACTGAATTATTAATTTGACTTGGTGATATCCCTGGCAAAGCATTAAAAATAACCTCAGACTGCTTCCAGTGTAGCTTTCTGCACGTTCCATTTGCCAAAGACAGACTGTCACAGAACTACAAAGCACAAAACAATTGAGAAGTTGTAACTACTCCTTCCTGATATATTTGCAATCTTTTTTTTCTGTATCACTAAGCATGGTGGTGTGCATTGCTTCTCAATTCTGTTGTCAAGGAGAATCACAAAAATAAACATAATCCAGGATTTTCCTTACGAAATTTAGTCTGCAGATGAGCAATAAATATTTTTCCAGTCAGCTCTTGACCTGAAATACCACCTGCTTCTAAACTGAAAATTATAACTAAAATACTTTCAACAGAAATAAAATTACAGGTTAATAATCAACTGCCTTCACAGAACATTTTTTAGCTTTGAAACATTTATGCTGTATTTTGAGTTCCTGCCTTATCTGTTTAAAAGCAATTTCAGTTTATACTATCACACAGCAGCACTGTGACAGTTAAAATTTTTTGCATTAGTACAACTTTTCCCTTGCTCAAGTTTTACAACTCCTGCATAGTTATTATAGTTCAGACTGTACACGTTAATGTTCAAACGTTATTACACAACAGCTATGAAAAATCTAACTGATTTTTATGCAAGTCTGCATGAAGTAATATATATGCTTTTAAACTTGCATTATCACTTCATCTGATCACAGTGAAAGTTGTGGGTGTGTTTGAAGGCAAAATTCACTCCAGAAGGACACGTTGTTTGCAACACAACAAAGCGTGCTTAGAGCAGGATGACACCCCAGTGAGAGTGGGTGGGTATAAAGGTGCACGCTGCCGTATGGTAAATCTATGCCAGCTGTGGAGGGTTGGGTATCAATCACAATGGGTACTGTTCTGCTACGGTGGGGAGCTGAGAGAGGGTTGCAAGCAAGGAGGAGCATAGTGCATGTACGTCCCCAGGTGCTTTGCACGGTATTATCCTAAAGGTGCCTCCTGTATGAAAAGAGATGCAGGCCCAGGTAGATGGAATTATACAGAAGCCTCAACAGATACCTTTTACGCATGTGGCATGCAAAAGGAGTAGACGCTACTGCATCTTGTTGCTGTAAATATAGGGATGGCCCAGTCACAAATGACTATATAACACATTTCTTAAAGAGGTGCATTGGATAACTTTATTCACAGTTGTTGATTTGCATATTTAGCTTGGTGTTTGTACAGGCAATTTCCCATTTTGTGTATGTGGATAAACAATCCAGTATTTATGAAGGTACCTATTGAAAATGTGATCTTACATACCTAATTAATATTATCATAACAGTTCCACCAACGCTGGCGTTGGTCCAGTAAAATACAAAGAGAAGTTGTATGTTGGTGTACTCTTTTGTTGATACATGAAATCCTTCATTTTTTCACTCTATCTCACTTCTATTGTAAGCTACTTTTTGCGGGGGGTTTAAACACAACTGCTAAGTCATTCGACCTGGAAGTTGGCCTACAAACTGACAGCACAGAGCTCAAAATTTTTCATCAGGTTTCCTTTAAACGGGCCAGATATAAAGAAAGACAACATGTTCTAGTTTCTCATAATTTTCATTGTATACTTAGGAACAGAAAACTGCTCACTTTTAAATGATGACATTTTACAAGGTCTTCGAGTCTGATTCTCAGCCATGAAACCAGCCAATTCCTAACAACTCCAGAGGAAGCTTTGCCATGCCATTAATGTATTAGGCCAGAATTTTCAAAATAGTGTGCCGAACAGTAATAAATATGTTAAATGATAGAATGGCAGTCAGGAGGACTCTGACCTAAGTGATCTTGTCAATCATGATCAAATATTTCCTCTTTCTTTGCAGTTTCTTGTTTGACTTGGCTTGGTAGATTCTTAGGACCAAATTTTTAAGAACAAATACTATAAATAACTATACTCCATAACGTAATTTGTGGCATTCACTGCTATTATGTGTATATGTGCATATATTCGTGCACATATATTTTACACGTACTTTTGCACCTGCTTTTTGAAATTGGGCAGTGAAATGTTAATTCAGAAGAGTAATATCTATCTCGGATTTGATAACTTGAATCTAAATTAAACATACTGAATGTGAGAGGCTTTCTCATTGCAAATGCCTAGCAGCCAGGGAGGATGTTTCGTCCTGAGAGCTTTGTACACAATTGCCATGGTGAAATCCTGGTCAATGTGGATATTTCATGCTAACTGTTTCTGCGACAGAGCCTTTCAAAAGGATATCATTTGACAATAGAAACCATACCTGTTTCCTTCCAATTATAGCTTAAGTTTTATGTTTAAGGTAATTCCTAGAAATCTTGGTTTTGTGTTTACCACAGCAAAAGAAACTCAACTTGAAGAACATTTTTTTACTATATACACATATAAGTTTGTACACATATACACAGACAGACAAACACATGCACCCACATGTTTACATATTTCTCTGTTTTCTTTTTTTTAACTTTTATTTGCCAGCTCGAGATTATCCTTGGATACTTAAAAACAAACGACCAGAAAAACTGCGAGATACTCTGAAGGAGGTAGAGGTATGTTTCAGAAAGTTTCAAGTACAGGAGCGTATCATCCTGTTTTCAAACCTCTTTCAACAGCTTTAATTTTCATAAAAGTCCAGCCCTCCTAGGGGTGATAAATGTGCTTTTGTTTGGTGGGCTGTTCCAAAACAGCTGCATCTTTCTGTGGCATGCTTCATCTATAAACTTCAAAATCAAAAGTATGTTAACCAAGAGTGACAATGTGTATGCCAACTCCACTCTCTGTTTTCTGTTGTCCTTCAGGACTTAATGCAAAACAGTCAATGTGTGCTGAGCAAATGGAAGAACAAACATATCTGTCAGGTAAAATGTTTTGACAAGCTCTTGCAATACTCAATCAATGGAGCTGAACAATCATTCAGTGACTGATGTGGTAGTGTTAAAATGTTAACCAATGCAAAAAAAAAATCCAATAATTTTTAATATAAGTGAGATTTTTAATGTATGTGGCTCTTATAACCTAGACTGTGTTTACTTAAATTCCTAACCTGAAATAGATTCTATAAAATAAAATTTTGCGGTTTTTATTGACAAGAAAAATTTCATAAAGAGGGCCTGATTATTTTTGTCGGAAACTGAAAGCATCCTGAACCCAGAGGGAACAGGCCAAAGGAGTGGCTGAAATATAAAGAGAGGTTTGGAATCTGTGTTATGTTGCATTTATTATATCTAATTATTTATAGGTCCATCACAAATCCTTTGTGCTTGTGTAAAATGGGAGAAAGACTATAAATCTAAGTCAGCTAGAGCATACATCAAGTTGTGGAACAAAAGCTATTGTGACATGTGGCACACACAGCTATGTTCTCTGCCTAGATAAGTTCCAGATATTGTATAAAAGAAACAGCTTTTCACATCCTCATTAACACAGGGCAGTAGGGTAGATGGGAGGTCTGAACATGAAACATGCTCTAGCTCCTTAGTCAAGAAAAACATGTGCAGGATATTTTGTACATTTCTACAGTCTTCATTACTTACGAGGAATGTGTATCATATTTCAAGCTGGTCGGGTAGGGAAAATATTGTTAAATGTTACTAACATTGTTTATAAGAAGAAATTCTGCATTTTAACTTGTATGCTTTTTCAGTTTCATAATTTTTTCCTTCTAACTCAAGTAGCTTCACACGTGCGTCAGCTGGATGAATAGTGAATATTCTTACACTCTACAGCTGAAATTCCCGAAATGTCTTTCACAATAGCAAAAAAATTTAAATACCTAACATGCCAAATAGCATAAAATCTACTTTTTTGCATCAGTAATAAAGATATTACTGCCAAGTCTACATTTGCCTATCAGATATTATCTCTAATAAAAGTATATTACATAGTGCACATCTGTGAATGTTAATCTTCTAGAACTAATTTAAACATTAATTGTACACTAATTTAGAGGTCTTTGTTATTTTTCTGATTAGGAAGGGACTTTGGATAAGAAATACTGAGTTAATTAGCCACGAGTATATTCATCTGTTTCCCAGTTTGCTATCTCTTCACTTACTTTTCCTGTCCATTCTCCCCCTATCATTTGTCTTCTTCTCCCATCTGTATCTGCATGCACTTGCATTCCTTATCAATACGTACTTTGGGACAGTGGAATTCTTGCCAAAAATTTGATTGTCCTGCCCTTACAATGTAACACCTTTGGCTGACTATTAATTTCATATGAAACACATTTTTGACTTAGCATTTCCTAAGTAGTTTCAGGCATACGTAATAAAAAAGAGACTTATGTCTTGTAGAAGATGGGAAACGAAAGAGATGATGGTTGTTTTTATCCTAACATAGCTGGATATGTCTGGCTTTATGTTGGGCTGAATCGTATAAAGGGACAGCTTGGTAAATTAACTGTATTTGTGGTGGTCTACCTAGGTTGTGTATAATGTAGCTAGAGTTAAAGTTATAGATAATAATGATTTTTCTGTCCTTAAATTCTGCTTTTGCTTTCTCAATCACAAAACAAAATTTTTTTTTCATATAATAATGACTGATAATTGAACTCTCCAAAAGGGTTTATAATGTTCTGCCAAAAGAATTGTGTTGCTCTGTGGTTGGTCTACCTCAAAATATAAGTTCTCCAACAAATGAAAATAAAACAGAAATAAAGGAATAATTTGGGCCAGTCTACAGTAGAAAAAAACTGTTATATATAAACTTTTGTATGTCAAGGTGTGTATTTCTCTAGTGCTCATCTGCCTTTGAGCATTTTGTGGGATTATCTGGCCTTCTCCCTTTTTGATACAGATGTTCTGAAACTTCTGAATAGGAGGGTCTAAGTTATGTTTTAATTCCAAGTGGGAGTTTATGTAACAGTTTCAGCAGAAATTTCTTATCACATAGTGGTGTGATCTATGTCATGCAGCAGTACTGCATGCACATACTGCTTTGGATAGATACCAGAGCACCAGTTAATGGAAGAAGAAGAGGCCATGTTTGCATTAACTTTCAAGTGCAGGAGAAAGTAACAAATCAGTCAAGCAGCATGGAGAGCGTGTAGTGAATTACCTTGCCAAATAGTCATAATTTTCAGTGATTTGGGCTAAATTTGATTTTATGGTTGAATTAAAATAACTTCAGATTTTTGACTCATCATTTTATAGTAGTGGGAAATATCAAGTACATTCAATTAAAGAAATTAAAATATGTAACTCAACAACAGTCATCAACATTTATTAATAAATGGCCCGTGTATTCAAATCTGCCATATCTTTAGCTGAACTGGGAAGAATTCTCTTTCTTTTGTAATAACAGTGTGCTGTCCTAAAGGTCTTCTCACCAGCTGTTGTACCTTTAGCAAGACAGAACTGGCAAGAATAAAAAAAAAAAAGAAAGGGGATACAATACTATCATTTTTTAAAGTAGTATAATTCCCTGAGATTTTGTGAAAAACAAGCATAAGACTACTGCTAGTGTGCCTTCTTGTACATTAAAAAAAAAAAATAATCACTATTTCTAATTCCTTTGTGCCTTCCCTAGCACTTCCAGGTTCTAACTAGTCCACAGGCAAAAAATAGGGGCTACAAAATTAAATGTGCATCTGCTAAAATAAGTGTGCTGTCGTATTAACTGCGTGTGTGCAAATGACCAATTAGACTTCATGCATATCCTTCAATTAGAAACCTAATTAGTTTGCATACAGATTATCTCATCCATTGTATGGAAGTGTTTCTCAAAATTGGCTCTTTTATGTGAGTTTGCCTAGAACTACTATAATGCTGGCCCTGCTCTTACCTTTCTTAAAGTTTCATTTTGTGCATCAAAATTTCTCCTATTACTTTTTTCTATAAAATAATCAGTGCATTAGATGTTTCGTATTTACTTCCTTGTCCATTGCCAGAAAAATACACTGACCTTTATTTTTACAGTCCTAAGTATACATTCTAATACTGCTTAGAGCTTCTGAAACAGAAGATGTGCCAGTTCATGTCAACATAACATAGACTGCGCAGAGATTCTTGTCAAGGAGTTTGCTCTCCTATTTAAAAGGGCTTAGTTGAGCCCTAAAGGACTGAGCTCTGTTCTTTAACTCTGTTCCTACTAGTTCCTGTAGCACCTGAATGTACACCATTTCAGGACGGTAGTTCTAAACCCCAAGTTTGATGACCTATGGTGAGCTTCTGAAATAATCCTGTAATCTTCTGTTAGTTGTTGTCAAAAGAAAATAAACAGACTATAAAAGAAGTATGACAGAAAAACAGACAAGAAGTCTTTACAGTAAGATGCCACTGTATTATTTATAATTAAATTGGCTTTCCCTTTGTGTGCTTCCCAGAAGAAATAATTGAAGGAATTAATTTCACCAATGTTGTTGAGTTTACTATGAAGAAGCTCTGATTTCCTCTTTCTCTGGTTTCCTTCTCTAATTCATTTGGAATGCTTTTAAGTTTTGCCACAAAACCATTGTTTCAGGTTTGGTTTTATAATAGAAAGTAGTAAAAATTAATGCAATATAGCTGAAACATTTGATTTCCAACTTTTTTTTTACTTTTACATTTCCATTATGATGTATTTACACATTAATTAAACGCATGCCAGCACTGAACTATTTTATTATATAAAAGCCAAACAGTAGATGTGAATCATCTGTTACCTGCTAATGAAAATGATTTATATATTCTTTGCTTAATTACTTTGATTTAATTTGGTTTGTGTTGCAGTTTACATATGTATATGAAAGGTTTTTATGTTACCATCATTGACATACTTAGGACTGGATTCTGAATTGAGATACACAGCAGAATATGCTGACATGGCTTGTTATATCAGCTACCATGCCCATAAGCAAACTGATTTAGCAAGATATGTGGTGACGTACACTAGCGCAGCTGATATCAAGACGTTATGACTCAAATAAGTAGTATGGAAGCTGGTATCCATCACCAGTTACTAAGAGGAACACTGCCCTCGTATTAAATTCTTTTAGTTGCTTTTGGTCACAACCATTAATGTGTTTTGTAGTTTTAGCGATTTGGAGCTAGAAGTACAAATGCATTGATTATTGTGTAACAGTAACATGTAACAACAATAACTTCATCTGTAATGAGGCATGCAACAGAATAATTACGGTAGGGTGGCTAAGAAAGCAATCTGGAATGAAGAGGTGGGGAAAAACCCTGGGAACCTGCTTGAACAAGAAATGCTGTGCAATTCTCTTCTTCTTTTGCATATTCCTTTGTCAGTTGGGCTCTGTGAGGGAAAACAGTTTGCAGCGATATTTTTTACAGGCATATTTTCCTTCTCTTCCAATTTTAATCAGATAGAAGCAAATCCTGGCTTTGCTCTGCAGGTATCTTTTTAGGTAGAAGGGCTGATAAGCAGCTAAGCTGCATGAATGAGGAGTCAAGGGCTAAGGCTTCCAAGGATACAGGAATCCACTTAAGTACATATTTAAGTTCTACTGAGGTTCATAAGTTTTGTGTATGTACTTACGTCCTAACTGTAGGCTCTGCTCCGTCAGATGTCTTGCTTGCTCTTCAGAGAACTATTTCAGTATGCAAAATATCTAACCCCACTCTACCAAAGCCTTCACATTCAACCCCCCCAGTAACACTGAGATTAAATGGCTCTTCCTTCCCGGCTTATGAAGTCATCAGATGCCCAAACATTTTACTCAGACCATGTTCAAGTGCAAAGACTAAGTCTGTTCTTACAATAAGTCTTACTTTCATATTTTGTTTAGCAACACCTTGAGACTATTAAAGCTGTAGAACTGTCTCTTCTGATTTTCATTTCTCACATTGCAGTACTTCAGTCTGATAACCACTCCACACGGCCACCACGCGGCGCAACTCTGTTAGATGGGATGGCTTAGTGTCTTATGTAAATAATGCCTCTTACATTTGCTTTTGTCCCTTAGTAATGATGGACAATTCCCTGGAGCGGTAGTTTTTGGGGTTGGATTGCTGTGTATCTGTGTTCAAGCCAAGTTTTCAACCTTCCAAATTTGTTCTATATTTGCTCATGCTTATCATTGGCCTGCTCCCATCTACCAAAATATGAGCTTAACTATGCAAGTTTATGTACAGCACATCTTCTTATCATGTAAGAGTCTTTGCGCAGATTTCATAGTGAGTAAAGAATTGAAATAGTGGTGTTTCAATTCGAGCAGATAAATATTATCCATTTTACAGATTATTTTTGATGAAAGATAATATGTTTGTGCTTTATTTAAATACCTGTTTGTATTTCATGGTAAACATTAAGAAATATTTCTTAACGTTTTTGTTACAAACAATGCTTTTGCTTATCTTTGTTGTATTGTTTTAAGCCCAGGCCTTCTATATAAAGGATTTTTAAAAAGGGGTGAAAGAAATATTGTCCATACATAACAATATAGTATGTGAGGTCTCTGATTTATTTGTGTAGTTTAGATGCTTAACTTCCTGGAGGCAAAGACTTAAACCTGTGGAGCACAGGTATACTTGCCCTCTACGACAAATGCATTAGAGCAAAAATTTGTTAAATTAAAGTTTAAGCTTTGCACAAGTATCTCAAACTTCACTGTAAAATTAAAAAAGGGAGAGAGATTATTGTAAGAAACAATAAAGGCCATGCAAATAATACTGTTTTTACCCACCCTGTGTCATTGTATCATGCCATATTGAGAGGGGACTCTTTATAATACTGAAAATATGGAACATTGGTTTAATGATTTGTTTCGTACATATCAAGTGAAGCACATATGCTTCATCACATTAATAATTAGTAATTTTATGTAAAAGTCTCATCATACACTACAGCAGTTTACAAAGATGTCTAGTCTTGCACTGTAACAGATGCAATTTATGTCATTCACGGGCAATGAACATATAGGCATAAAGTGAATTTGCACCCTCAAACCTCTAAGAGTTAAGTAAGCATAGCCTTACATTTATTTGTTCCTCTCAAGCCAAGAGTTTGAGAGCGTGTCTCTACACAGCATGTTGGATGAACATACGAAATGTCAGTAAAATGGCAAGCATGTGGCCTCATTCCATAATGCAGTCATTGAAGAAATATACTGGTCATCTTCAGATCAAAATGCATTTTTCCTAGCTTTAGCTGGAGAGAGGTGTGTATATCGCCATTCTGTCAAGTAAACCAAAATGCTACAAGCAGACTTCTGATACACTTAGGTTATTCTGCTAGACATTTTCTCCCAGAAACGCTCTTTTACCTCCAGGATGCTCTTCTCACTCACTGCAAGGAAATGAAGTATGGGAAAAATCCTCCTGTTAGAGTAGCATTTTCTGAGGGAAGAGACAGCATGCTCTCAAGCAAGGGTGTTGAGGAAGACCCAAGACGGAGAGTTTGTTTAGGTGACTGCACCAGCTCTCCCAGTGGTGCCTAACACTGAAAGATTTGGGAAGTTTTTCTCTTCTGTGGCAGGCTGATATTCACTGAGTAATTTAGAACTGTTTTTTTCTAGAGTATGTATGTAATTTTGCTTGATAAGTATGTTCTTGCAGAGTAGTTAGTTAACTTTTGGGTTTCAACCCTTACTTTTTCCACTGGATTCTTTGGACAATTATAGCTAACCATAGTCAAACCTTGCTGGGTTTGGGAACAAGTTGGGGATAAGTTGTGATTTTATCTAATCTAACGCCACCACAAGGATAAATTGAAGTTTTGAAAGACTGTAATAAAAGCTGTATGAGTGTAACTGTGTCTAACATTTTTTACTAGGACAAAACCTTAAAGGACATCTGTCATGACAGGAAATAGTGAAACATTGAATGCATATATTTTCAAACTAATGGAAGATTGGAGTTTGGCAGGATGTTTGTAACAAATTTATTTTGCATTGTAGGTAGTTTAGGTTTCTATTTTAAATGTCATTAGAATTTGTTTTCACACTATCTGCTGTGAATTGGCCAGAAGATAGATGAGGAAAATGTTGGTTAAAGATAGTGATTAGGCAAGAAGGCAAATTATTTAAATATTCTTGTCCTATTCTTTGCTGCAGAGAGCATAGAACTATTGTAATAAGGCAAAATATGTATAACTGACATTTTGCATAGCTGAATTACTGGGAGCAGAGCTGAGAACAAATGCAACATCAGTTAGATCACTACATTCCCGTCCCTAGCACTTCCATTATTTTAGCACAGTCATAACATTTTATGTCCTCTTGGCTTTGAAAAAAGAAACATGTAAAACAAAGAAAAAATAATTATAATGTAGCCATAAAGCTGAAGGAGAGTTATAGAAATGACATTATCTGTTGCTTCTGATGTATATAAAACACATGGAAAAGATGTGAGAGACTCACCTAATGCCTCTTACTGCCAACTGAGGATTGCTCCCAACATTATATTTTCTTATACTTGTGCTGTTCATTTTAAAAGGCTACCAAAATGGGGTTCCTGCCACTTTCCTTGGAGGTTACTATATAATCCAATAGATCTCACTGCAAGCAAGTTTGCCTGGTGCTCTATGTACAAGTGTGTTGTACTAAAAAGTATATTACAACCATGTTTGTCTCATAGCTGTAATGCAAAACAGATAAGAATTTTTATGCCATTGTCTACTACAAGAGCAACTATTTGTCTTATATCCAGTCTTATATCCAGTTTTTTGAAAGTACAGAGATTTTTTTTTCTAAATCTGCTTCTAGTTAGAAGTAAAAAACTGGCTTTTGGCGAGTCCCCTGTATTTTTCTACAGGAGTCTTCCCACTGAGGTTTCCTTTGGCAGAAAAGATAGTTCAGCGAGTTTAAGTCTGGTATAGCCTCTGCTAAAGTAATAATGATTTTATTTGCTGATTAGAGGGAAGTGAACATAGCTGCCAAAATGCGTCCTTCAGAGTTGCTACCATGTAGCAGGAATTAGAACAGTCCTGAAACTTCTTTAACTTAGACATTCAGGTCATCTAGCCCAGCAGCTTGCAGGATCAGAGGTGGAAGTGAAAGATGAATTAAAATACACATGAGTTTTCAGTTTTGTGCATATGAAGATCAAAATCACAGTAGTTATTTTTTTCACTATTTTTTACAGGGGGGGTTCCTGTAGAAACCTAAGTTTAGCATTGAGTTAGGCAATCTTACAGTCTAACCCTGTCAGTCTCTTTTACCATGTTATTAGAAAAAAACAATATTTTTCTCATAAAGCTTTTTATGTACCCCTGCTACTGGAGTAACTTGACAAAGTGAGCTCAATTCACAATGGAGAGGAGAGCTTTCTGTTCTTCATTTGCTGAATTGCTTTGCCACAGTAGTTGCGTGCAGAACATTATTAACTTTAATAATTTCATTATGCAAAAAGCAATGCTTTTCATGACTCCTCCCACTGAGCATTACCTCTTGTACAAGCTACAGCATCAGAAAGAACTGATAAGTACTGTGACATAGTCTTCGAAATTATATGCATCCACTTAATTGAGATTAGTTAGACAGGGATATTCAGTTGACTCTGAGATAAGCCTCTGAGTCTATTCTGTCCAATAGTTTAACTTCCTTCTTTCCAAGAGAAACCTCTATGACCTTATGCCAAGGAGTATATGAACTTATTAGGAGCCCACAGCTATGACTGTGGTAGAACGGGCACCATTATTTAAGTTAAACAATATATGAACGATCAAGAATAACTGTGATATAAAAAGCCACTGTTTTTAATTTGTGAAAAGTAAGATAAGATTATTTTTTATATAAAACTGTATATATTTTTTCATGTAGCCTATGCAGTTATTCTTTCATATAGAAAAATCAAGTCCATGAATGACAGGCACAATACAAATGCACCAGCAATTATGGTATTCTAAAGGTCTGTAGATCACTCTCAAATTCAGGTCCTTTCAAATTCTCTCAAGTTCAATAGCCAAAAACCGGCACCCTCACATTACTAGAATTATTTGGATTTTGGCCTAGTATTCATGTACAGAAATACTTAAAACATCAGAGGGCTGCCTTTGCTGAGTGTTTTGGGGGTTCTTTTTTTTTTGAGACACAGGAGGTTATAGTGAAAAAATGTAACATCAGTTATTATTTTGATGATTAAGAGTGATCAGCATCATCGTTTACTTATTCTGGACAGAATTTCAATCACAGTTTTTAACATACTGGTTCAGTAAATTTTATGCAAATTTGGGAACTTAGCAGCCATCATCTTCAAGTGTTCACCATTTGTAATTCTTGCACCCACATAGTTCAGTGTTGTATTACACTTACATTTTTCATTGAAAAAGCTTTCGAAGTCATTATTAAGACGCTTTCACATCTAAGATAAAAGTCTTCTTTGTAAGTTTGAAAATTAGATTAGTACTTAACAGACAGCGATTAATATGTACCCTGGAAAGTTTCACTTTATTATTGATTCTTGATGTCTTATTTTCTCGCTGTTTGGATTTAGCTCCTCTTTCATTCAGGTGTATTGGTGTCCCTAAGCCTTTCTGGGCCACAGCTGGAGAAAGTGGTGATTGACAGGACCCTGGTGGGGAAGCTCATCTCCGACACCATCAGCGATGGTAATTACACCCACGTGCAAATCAATTGCCTACATTAACAATAGAGTAGAGAAACAGTATGTCAACAGGTAGACTAATTATTGCCACTGGGGACTTGCAAACACAACAAGTAATTGCATGTAATGCCATAGTTACAACCCTCAGGACTAAGAACACTTTAAGAATAATATTTAACATCAGAGTTTTCAGGCTTGTCAAATAATGACTGGATTTCTAAAATTCAGTTTCTTACACATTTAAATCACTGTGAACATGCCATTTGAACTTGTCATGTTTATATCATAAATAGGAAAATGGGACAGAAACAAACATTATCAAACTGATTAATTACAAGGGAGATTTATTATAAAAATGTTGACTTATTAAAAAGGTTGGATAACATTAGCTCTGTGGAAGTATTCGGATTTAGCTTCTAGATTTCCAGCATCTCATTACTATGATTAACTAGTGACTGCTAAAAATAAGATTTTTGCTTATTGTAGAAATAAATTTATATAAAATGTGCCTGTTTTTAAGTTTTTTAATATGAACATAGCTTCTGTAATATGTCTCTACAAAGCTCCACTGAGAACTCATCCAGATGTTTATATCCTGGTATTTGCATGATCAAGAATGTGGAATTTTTATGTGAGCCAGACTACATGAGAACTGTATTCAAAATTCTCAAAAAGCGAGGATCCAAGTTACACCCTTGTAATGTGACTATATGCTAGATTTAGCTTTGATCTTTAATAATTTATTTTCTTCCATTCCTCAGGCATCTATTGAGTATTGGCCTTGTTATTTAAGAAAGTTGCAGTACTGAGTCCCTCTGATCTTTTCCTGTTTGTATGTTGTAGTATAGTCTTGAAAAATAACGTTGCTATGTTGGTAGAATCCTTAGTATCCAAAAATCTAACCCTAACCTCATTTTTATATCAACTATATGAGTTTAATTAGAAATGGGATGTCAGGAGATAGAAAAATTACCTTCCTAAAAGAAAACATTATTTCTGATTTTTCTAAATTATTTTGTGACACTGGGGTCTTGTGGTAGTGTTGGTAGGATAGTAACTCCATTGCCTCTCCTCTAACACTGTAGTATATGGGTCCTCTTTAGCAGACCTCTCTGAATAATGAACATCTATGCCCACAGTTGCACTCGTGTAGATCTATTTGGCTTCAGAATTTCCTAGGTTTGTTCTGCAGCTGAAAAAAAATAATCATCCACAACAGAACTGTCCCTTATTCATGGTAATGATGTCAATAAATATATATATTACCTATATAACAAGCAGTAACACCTGTGCATAATTTTTCATCTTTCACGCTATATTTCTCATCTACTTGCAGTCTTTTCCCACAGGCAGTCCCATACTCCAGCCTCTCCTAGCTGAGGCTGGCTGGCTGCACAGCTGGGGCAGTCTGAACAAGGTGAATCGCCCTCCCAGACCTGCTCTCCTTCCCCAGCCAACCACAGGCACTAAAAAATCAAGGCATTCTAGTCTCATTCACACTTGTCCAAGGATCTTTAAACTCCTGGCTTCTTTCCTTCAGCCAAAACAAATTTCTGAGGCATCTGAGCTGTGCTGTAGGACATCTTTGATGTAAACAGTCCGTGATGATGTCAAAATAGGTTAACTGTACATATGAGGATCCCACAACACTCACTGGCTTTGACTTTTCATGCATGTTTAGGATCTGAATTATAGCTTCAAACTCACAGTAGGAGATACTTGATCACCATTTCTGTTTTTTTTCAAAAGTCAGTATTGACCTTACATTTCAAAGGCAACTATTTGGCTTTAAATTTAACCCTTCAACATTTGCATACCAGATATTTCAGAGCTGTGCCAGTACATGACTATCGGAAAACATACTGGTTGTAAATGAGACTAAATCAAAGCAAAGCTGAGTAGTCAGTTTTCACTGCTTATGTTAAGTGTAAGACTAAACTGTCAACATAAATTACTGGAAATTATTGGAAACATATTAAGGAGTAGAGGATATTAGTCCCAAATACAATTTTGCAGGTTTTTTTGAGGTTTGCTCCATGGGATTTTTGTTTGTTTGTTTGTTTTTAAATCAGGTCCCAATTTACTTGGCAGTTTCCTTTTAGCAGAGGTTTCTGAGTTTGCTTCCTGGAAGCAGCTTGCTAGCTTTACTTTAGACCTGGTTTTCAATAACTGTTTTTCAGTGATCTGGTACTAGTTACCATGATGACTCACTTTATTCTCAGAAATCTGCTTAAAGGTATGCACTGCTTGGCTAACAGGATAATGCTTGAGGAAAAAACCCTAGATAGTATTGTCTAATTCATTTTCATTGTCAAATTAGTTGTTCTGTTTTATATTGAACTATTTCAGTCTAGTACCCTCTTACGATAGCAGTGGGGATTCCACGGCACTTTTCCAGACTTCAGCAGAGTCTCTTCCATCTTGGTTATCTGTATTGTTCGGGTACCCACATATGAAGTTTTCAACAAGTTAATAACCCATCTAAAGCACAATCCTGTATGTAACAGCTTCCTTACCGTCTGCAGTAGCATCTGGAATCTTACTGCCACTACATCACTTACTCCCAATGTCAAAATACCAAATATACCTCAAGTACTAATTTACATTTATCAGCCTCATCACCGACAATGCTGAATTAGGTGCATTTGCAAAATACTGATGGATGTTGCTGTAGGCAAAAAAAAAAAAAAAAGGCTGAACAGAGATGAAAATGGAAATGAAAGGGAGTAAAACATATATTTGAATGTAGTGGTAACTTGGTTTGACATAATTTATTCAGGTTTATGTAATCTGAGTACTCCTTAAGCTTTATTTCTCATTTCCAAGAAGGTCCTGGCAGGATGACACATGACACCTTTTAGGAGATTACAGAGGCTTCAGTGTAATATTTAAGAAAAAAATTGCTTTTTGCAATGTCTCAGTAGAGGGTTCAGTAATTTATTTTTGTTAGCAGAATACTGCAGGTATTACAGTGGTGACAATTTTTATTTGTTTTTTCAGCTGTTCTTACAGATAGCTTCATCATCTTGTCATTTGGGGACCACAACCAACTCTGCTTTATTCAGTTTGCAAAGAAGATGGGTTCTCCTGATGTAAACAAAAGACTGGAAAAACTCTCTTGTTTGGATTTTAAGGTATAACTGTCAATGCTGACTATAAATACTACGGTAACTTTACATGATGAATCACTAGCACTTACTGATATCATATAGCAGTATAAATTGCAAACCTTGGTGTATCTGATCAGAACACCGCAAATTCTAAAAAAGGCTATTATTGAAAAGTCAGAACAATTTACTTGGAATTCTGAGTTAACGAGTTAAAAATACTGTGCCAAGAGGGATGCAATTGTCTACTATATTTAGGTTAAGGGCTCAGACACACAGTTGAGTTACCTCTGCTTAACAGATCACCTTGTGTCAGCTATGGCTCAGCTGATGTACACTAACTCATGAAGCTATGATAATTCAGTCATCTGTCTGAGCTCCAAGATTGTTGTAATTCTCTGCAGAAATCTTGATTTTCCCTCTAGTTACAGTAATCTTATTGTTGGGAGAGCTGGTTTTGTAATTAAGTCACAGAGCTAGGACTCAACATATAGAAGCTCAGTTTTTCACCACTGACAAACTATATAGGTGACCTTAGGCAAGTGACTTGGCACCTCTGTATCTCAATTCCCTACTTATACAGTGAAGATCAGAATAGTGCCTTTTCCAGCCCTGTATATATGGGTGTGTCTATACCCCAGTCACAGCAGCAACTGTAAGGTTGTCTAGAGATAGCTGAGCTAGCTTTAAACTGGTTTGGATGTCTGTAGAAACCCAATTCAACTCAAGTTAAATGACACTGCATCTTGGCTGGGCTGGGCTGGGCTGTGTAGACATAACCTATTTGGATGGTAAGCTCTTTGGCTTCAGAACAGTACAACTCTGACCTTAGCTGGGAGTGCTTGGCAGTGTGACAGTAAAAAAAAACACTGAGCCAACAGCAATTCACTTTGAACAGGTAGCGTAGGAAAGGGGCTGCATCCAATTCACTGCAAGAATGAAGAGACGAGCCTTTACCCAAGGAAGGTAGAAAGATATAGTGAGCAAGAGAGTTTCTGTTTATTTCAAACTGGATAAATGTTAAGGAAAGCAACCCTGTCCTAGCAAATATTTTCCCCCTGACAACCCCTCGGTAATTTGCTTTCTCACATAAGGGAGTTTGCATTTTTCAAGGCAAGCTCTTTAAGGATGTGTTTAATTTAAGTTTTGCCATCTTACATTTTAACTTGCCTGGTAGAAATACTTTCTGCTAGGATGAATATCTAATACATTTTCCAGGCCGTTTCAGTTCAGGGCCTCTTTTCAGCAACGGCTTGTGTTTGCGAGATTGATCCAACCTCTATAACGTGGATTTGAGACAGTTCACTGTTCACCAGGAACTGAGCTGATACGTAGTTTACTTTAAAATGATGCGCACTTATGCCTGGCCTATGATGTTTGCTAAGGCTGTGCGTTAGAAGCAAGGTTAGTGGGTTTGGTTTTTTTTCATTAGGCCTAAACTTTAACTAAGAAACTGTGGTGAGCTGAAGCCTGCCTTCGTCACTTAATTGTAAGGTCCATATCTCCTTCACTTATATTTGGAGAATATATTTTCTTTCTGGGTATTGCTGAGCACATTTTGGACCTAATGGCTGTGGCATTTTTTTCTCGGAAAAGAAGGAAATTCTAATCCTTAGAAACCTCTCTCTGCGCTAGGAAACCAGAAATAGCCCCTGCATTCCTTAATAGGGTTGTTATGTTCAGTTCTCTGCTGACACAGCCAAGCTTCTAGAGCACCTCCATGTGCAGTGTTAACTTTGCTTTCTCTTGAAATCAGTGGGAATCGCTATGGATTATGTTTTTGCCAGCCAAAAAAGGTATTTGCATTTTTTAATTGAATGTTCTTTTGTGTGATGCTTGCTAGTTAGGCAGCTAAAAATAATTTTTATTATCTTCAAAATTGCACCAGTGTGAGCCAGCAGAAAGCATTATTCACTGCTGCAATAATATTATGTCAGCTGTCTGTATTGAAGTAGAGTTATTCATGACTGCCCTTGGTCAAACTTGCAAACACTAAAAGAACACAGACACAGGCAACAGTAGTGTTGCTATCAATAGCAATAAAAGAATCAAAGATGTTCTTCAACTAGAAATGTGCAAAAGTATAACAATATATCCTTTAAAAAAAGCACTTCCTTAATGTTGATTTTTTTTTTTTTTCAAGAGAGAATGTGCATTTAAAAGGAAGCTTGCACAGGTACGGAACTACCACAGGGCTAAGACATGGAACTAAGATGCAGGAAATTTGAGCATAGCCTTCGTCTCTACCTCTGAGTTTCAGTGTTGCCTTGAGAAATGTACTCAGTGTCTGGGTTTCGATTCTTGTTTCTAAAATGAGGAAAATGCTTGCTTACAATCATATGTAATGTTATAATTACATTTCTATCATATTTAGATTGTAGTCTTTTTCATACATAGACAAAAGCAACTTCACATTGTTCAATGCTCAGTGTAAAGGGGGGTAACATTGGCTCAAGGCTGTACTGGACTGCCAGAGTGCTAGCAGTGATAAGAATAAGTCTGCTATGCTTTTCTCCTCACAGTTAGTTTCAGTGCTTAGGGGTGAAAGAAATTGGTTGGTTTGTTGATTATTGTTCATTTATTTTATAGTATACTTAAAAACTTGAGAAATCTTTTCTTTCTCCTTTCACATTTGGCATGTATTGTAATTTTCTGATGAATTAATTAGTACAAAAGTTTGATATCTGGCCTAAAGTTACTACTTACACAATACGTATCCAAGTGGAAGCATTACTTTCTCTATCCTCTTCCTTTCTAAGTGATAGCACGTGGATTTTATATACACTTTGCATAAAGAAGGCCAGACTTATTGTATGAACCACTAGAATCGTGGAGATCAACAAAACATAAATTATCATTTGCCTTTTCTCAGTGGCACTAGTCCGTGTTTGACAATGTGATGTCTGATGCAAGACATCAAGGTTTGCAAAAGTGTTAAATTGGTGTGACCAGTTAACACTGCAGTACAGCACTAAGTAATATCTGTGACAGTATTTGTGTTTTTCCATCCTGATAAATGTGTTGTCACCAAAGCAACTATTTATATGCAGTTTTAATTCAAGTTGCAGTTGCCTGTTAAACTTTACTTTATGTTTTATCTTTCTACTTTTAAATAGAATTTTGACAAATAAAACACAGGAAATTCTGAAAATATTGACCTTTTACAAGTTTTTCCCATCTGTGGTTTTTTAATCCATTTCAATTTACTAAAGGAGGAGACAGTACAAGGAGTTAAATGTTTACCATGAGAGAACAACATTGGTAATTACTTTGATTTCAGTTCCTTTTGATGTGTATTCAGGGGATGAAGAGGTCAATAATATTATGACCATGCAAATAGAAAAGGGTTCTTTTTGACCGTATAAAAAACAGCAAAGGATTATTAAAGCATTAACCTTGATTTTAATGGCCTTGGTTGAGTGGTGAGATCACAATTTGGATGAGCCTGATTATTTACTAAATACAATACATAAATGCAACGGGTTCTTAACACCCATTGCACTCTGGCATTATCGCATTACTGCCATCCTTTGTTGCCTTGCAGACAGGAATATGAAAGCAATCTGTCATGTAGTGAGACTGGCTCCAGAAGCATTTCTCTGATAAGAAGACCCCCTGCCCTTTGCTAGTGTCTGGTCCAGTAGGCTTAGCCATGCGCTTAATCCCCAGAAAGTGGTTCGATTATTGCTGACCAGCAATGGCAAGATAGTTTTTTTTTCCCCTAGCTATCAACCTTCCATTAATTCCTTAAGCAGAAATGCGGTGCAATCTATATTTCCTTGGCATGTGTCACCCAGATGGTGCACTGCTCATGTTTTCAAATAACTATGCTCCAAAATAACAGAGTTTGAATAATAAATTCCACAAATCCTTCCTGAGAAAGAGGCACAATTCTCAAGAGCTGCATAAACTTTACACATGATGCTGTAGCTCATCCACATTATGCAGAAAAGTATATATTCTCTTGCAAAGTGCATGTTTGTATCTGGATTCTTTAATAGGCAGGAGAAAGAAAGATATATGTTCACTCAGACATTGTAGAATATATTTAATATTTGATTATGTCTTAAACACCAGCCTTAGCTCCCTGGTCAGCTTCACAGAACTTGTCATTTAATATGGCTAGGCTTAAATCCTATGTGTAGGTCGATGCTGTCAAGCAACCATGACTGTACATTTTGGTATTGATTGGAGTCATTGCAGTAAATTCCTTCTTAACACACATTCCTTTCCTTCCCAATCCCCTCCCCACAGATAAAAGTGTGAGCATGTCTCTTTCTGTCTGAGGAGATATTTTTAACATTTACAGACAGCCTATATGAAGATACATCTACGCAGTCCTCTGTGTATATATACATTCTCTTTCACACATCCAAAGCAAATGCTCCCAATTGCACCTACTGTGTTGTTTTATCACCTTAAATATTTCCTGCATTTTTTCCTCCATCAGATTTCTTATATTGATATACCTGGACCAGAAGGTAGAAGGATGAAACGTCACCTGGCAATAAACTGTATGCAAGATATGGTTATTTGCTGGTGGTCAGCAACTAATGATGGAGCATGGCCTTGGTCTCCTGTTTCCTGTGAGAGGGACAGAGCCAACTTATTGCTATTAGGCTGTGCACATGGCAAACTGGAGGTAAAGTTCTGAACTCTCTTGTTACATGATTTTTCAGATTTGCTAAAGAGGTAAAGATTCAACTTAAATGCATATTCAGGTAGATAAAAATAACAGCTACATTAAAAACATAAAAAAGGAAGATCAGCCATCCTAATCTTAAAGTTCATTATTTCATGAAAAAAGATCTTATTCAGTGTTTTTCACGTTGAAATTGGCAATCTGAGGAGTGTAGCAAGGAAATTAGCTCTTGAGAGCAGAAAAGCTTTGGCACTGCTACCGCTGAAAAAAAATAATGTCAGAGTACCACTAAAAAACTTTTTAACCTGGGTTAGAAGTTGTAGCAGTTGCATGCTTCTCCAGTGCAATTATTTTACATTGTCTGCAACGTTATCTGATAAACATTTTAAAATTTATTTTAAGTGTATGTACTGTTTTATCATAATTATAAAGTGTTAGCTACATTCAGATGCTGCTTACATTGTTGTGATGAGTATTGGTCAAAGCAGAAACCATTTTTTGTCTTAAAAGTCAAAATTCCCCTTCTGCAGGTGGGAATGTAAGCTACAAGTTAGAACAAGACTGCAAGCTGACCTTCTTCCTGACGCTTGCTTAGCTTACTTTTTTAGGCAGATAGTTTCCATTTCATCTATTTCATTTTCATTTCATCTATTTAAGAATATTTGAATCCAGTTTCTTATGTTAGGTGAAAACTTTAAAATGAAACTATCAGGGCATATTATGAACTGAACTGAAATGAACTGGAGTTAAAGTGTAAGAGCTGTTCTGGAGTAACATCTCATATAGATGCTCCTGTATTAAGAGTTTTATTTTCAGTTTAGCTTGAGCCACGTCTAATACGGACTAAAAAGGCACGGACTGTGGGAGAAGAGCAGAAACTCGAGGATCAGCTGTGGAATAGCTGTTCTGCAGTAGCTATTACAAACTATTTCCCTGTAGGGAAAAACCCTAAGTAACACTTAAAAATAAGCTGCTCTGCTAAGCAACATTCTGTTCTCTCTAATTTGGAAAGATATAAATGTTTTAATGTCTTGGAATTATTACTTGATAACTAATATTAATTTAACTGAGGACTTTTTCCCTTGGGATTTTCTGTATATTGAAAGCAGAAGAGAAAAGGTAGTTGAGACAGCTTTTCTTTTGTATTGCAGTCCTTAATCGCTATAGACTTTAAGTGCAAATTACCTCCCCTTTCTCTTCCCTACTTTTCAGTTGACCTCTCTCCACTTGTGGTCACCTTTGACTCATCCCTCCTCTGCCTGATACTCACCTGCAGTTATGCCCAGTCAGATATAAAATATGACTCTTTCTGCCTCGGTAGCTATAAAGTGTTCTATTCTTTATAAGTTTTTGCCACCTAGTCTTTTGCGCCATTTTCATATTCTAAAACTTCATATTACCACCATCGCAGATCTTATTTCTTACCATGACTCCCCATATGTCCTGGTTCTAACAGTGACATCCCCAGGCCTTTTGTTTCCTTTTCACCTCTCTGTTCTTCCAGGATGCTCCCTAATGACTCCCTAATGCCAACATACCAGCTTCCAGTATCTTCTCTGAGATGTCTTTTAGAGATGCATTTCTTTTATGAAATTCACAGAAATTATCCTGTCAGTTTACGATTTCTCTTTTTCACTTTATATATTATAGGGAGATTTCTAAATTACAGCCTTGCTCTGCATCTTTCAGTGCACCTTGTTTTATCCTTTCCTGGTGTAGACTCTAAATTGCTCAGGGCTGAGGCTGTCTAGTATAGTCCTAAGCACATCACTGGTGCTTAACACAATAATGATAATAAGCATTCACTGTGCCTTTAGGCATAAACTCATAATCGTTTTCATTTAGTCCATATTGTGATATAAATATAAGGAAATTATTTTTAAAAGCAGAACTGCAAAATTTAACTGTTCAGTTGCTTTCCCTTTTCTGTTCCTTTTTGTGAACTTTTCTGTTTTAATTCTAAGCTCTTCAGATGAAATTTTTTTCCCTATATTTGTCAATGAAACACCAAGCACTATGCCAGCGCTATGGAAAACTTAGTGATGTGTAGATAATAAACATTTTTACTAGTTGTAAATTGGCCTGTTCCAAGCACTTATCTCTTGGATGCTCAGTGGGCTACTGCATGAGACTCAAGACACTGCCTGTACACTCCCCCTATGTACCCATGACGTGTAGTCTACAGTACTGTTTGGTTTTTTTTTCTTGATTTCTCTAGCACCCCTCATGAGCCATTGTCAAATACTCCTTCAAGGAAGGAAGATGTCATAACGCAGCAGCTCTAGAAGTAGTGTCGTTACCCAATATGCAGTTAACTAAAGTACATCTTTCCCCTCCAGAGTCCGGGAGCATACCCTTTAACTTCGGAGGGTCATGTCACAGCTTAAACATGAGCAAAGTTGTAAGTGACATTTATAGACAGCTTCTAAACATTTACTCTGCAGGTCAGATACCACAAAAAAATGGTTTTTCTATAAACATGCTTATTTGCATCTCTTTGCCTTTACTTCTTTACCGGTGTGTAGTGCTCTTCAGGTATTTACCTGGAATAAAAACATGACATACCATTTTTATGCATGGAAGTAAACTTAGCTTATTTGACCAATAATGCAGTAAGAGTTTTCCCCCAGTAGATGATTATTGCCAATAGTAGAAGAATGAGAAGCAAGAAATGATTTGGTTTGGAGAGTTTATCTAAGAGAAGTGTAATAAAATAGTGCCACGTTCTGAAGTGCTTTGTCTTGTCATTTGCAAACATTTTATTTGAAAGTAATGGTATTACTTGGGTTAGACAAAAGTATTATCTAGAATTGAGATGAAAGCAGGAATTGCTGACTGTCAAGCCTGTAAAGAGCTGTTTGGTATATTGGGTTTATGACACAGTAAAGCAAGCCTGAGGAAGTGAACGGGTACTACCCACAGCCATTCTACAGCACATTTGAGCTGGCCTACAAAAACCACAGAAAGATTTGCCGGCTACAGACACTTATTGTTGTGGCAGAGCAAATATAAATGATGCACTTAACATGATGCTGCTTCCTCCCTGGAAGAACTGTCTAAGCGATTATTTGCTGCCCACCAGAAGAGTGCGTATTAGGAAGAGGGCAGGAGTAGCCCTGGGACAAGACAACCCAAGCCCTCATCATGATTCTATCCTGTGTACGCATTATACATTGGGATGATTCACATGGCACATACGGCGTTTGGGGTATGGTGTACCTAAACAGCATTTCAACTTAATGGAGGAAATAATGCATTTTAAATACACTATAAATGTGATTAGAATTGTGCTATGTGGCTTTATGTTTTAACATTTGCTGCCATTAAGGCTAAAGGCAGACGTTATTCCTTTTAAAAACAGAAACAACTTTTTCTTGGCATATTCAGTGAGGAAAAGCTTAAAACAAAATTTAAATGACTGAGTAGTATTATTTCTGTGATTGTTTTAGAGAAGAAGGTATTTTTCAGGAGTAAGTTTACTGTTTACTGCCTGCTCTGTTTAGTTACATTGATAAAAAAGCAGCACGGAAAAATTCAGCGTGAGGTAAACTCCCAAATTAATTCTAATATCAATTTAGCGTTTTAGAATCTTGACTAGTTTTATGCTTTTAATTTTCTTCTGAGATCAGTGTTTACCAAGTTAAAGGGTTTAGGCTTTGGTGAGGAATCCTCCCCTGAAGAAGAAATAAAAGAGCTTTTCTATACAACATAAGACTGCTTCGGTGTGCTGTATGTTGTATGCGTGCATACGTGTTGCTGCAGGAGTATTTGTCTGTTGAATCTTTATCAGCTTTCTTGTGTGTGTTGATTTCCTCCAGTAAACTCATCCATACTCCCAAAGTATTTGTGCAATCTTTTTTCTTTTCCCCAGTTTCTTCTTTGTTAAAGTACAAATGATCAAGGATGTTATTTAAATTGTTTCCCTGTGGAGATAATGCTGGTATTTTGATTTTGAAAACAAGAGGAGGAATCTTCCAGAGATCATTTCAAACTATTTTCTATGAATAAATAGCATCTGATGTGAAATCATCCTTGTAGTAAAAGTTTTGAGGGAAAGTCATGGTAAAATGAGCGTGAACTTTACGCTGCAAACATAAATTAACAGGAGAGGGTGATGCCGGTGCTGAGTTACTGTGGTACTTTGCATTTGTCTCACCCTGTTTATTTTGTAGCAGTTAGTGCTAGTATGAATCATTGAAATGACACTTTGTTCCTGTGGAAAAAATAATTTGCCTGAGAGAGAGTACTATTTTTCTTTCTCCCAAGAGACGGTATTTAATAATTATTGCTTCCACATTGTGGCTCAGACTTGTGAAACAAACACAGTAGCCCTTTTAGGAGTGAGCTATGCTACAATATTGCAGTACTCCGAAAAGCGGATACTGTATGTGACTGAATAGCTGAAATACCTCTGACAGACGAAAAGCAAAGAATGCAGAATCCTTGATGTCACACTGGGTTAAAAGTTCAGTGAGTGATACAGGATAAAAATTGTAATGATAAATTTTGAAAGAAAATAAATATTGACTGAAGGTGTAAATAATAAGATTGCATGTGGGACTGTAAATACAATGCAGCAAATAAGAAACCTGGTGTAAAAGCCTTGAGTTTTTATTTTAAAAGTGTTTAAAAATAGGGGATTTTTTTCTTCCTCCTTCACAGCGCTGAATTTCAAACTATTTTACTCCAGTGTGTCCTACACTTTCCACTCAACATTTCTAATTAAAGTGTTTGTTGCTATTTGAAGCCTCACTGTGTGAAATTAAACAAGCAGTTTCCTAACATCCATAAAATAAATCAAACATTTTTCTCATCCGAAAGACAGACAATTCAGTCACAGCAAGCTTGTTTCTGTGTTTCTTTTGTTTTCTTTTTTATCTGCTTGGTAAGCCAATTTTCTGCTTTAGAACTACTATTTAAAACTCATATTTGGTTCGATATGTGGGCTTTATCCCTTCCTAGTACTCTATGCAGAATACTCCAATTTTCAGTGTTCAAAGGTTTGCACTGACGAGAGTGACATTGCTTACACAATCTAGTTCTATTATTTCTTTCACACAACAAACTGAAGGGAAAAACAGCATTGTAACTAGCATAATTCGGGCCCCTTTGGTTACAAAGATTAACAGATTAGATTCCTTTGCTTGGAATGCTGTGATTTCTGAGTTAGGAGTGGAGATTGGCATGGATAGTATCCCTCATTCATTCTGCTGATTAGCTAACACAGGGCTCAGGCCACTACTGCAAGGGTAAAAAGGATATAAATGCCATAGTGGTGCATGATTGCTGCTTTAACGCACAAATTATATGGACAATATTTATAAAAAAGCCAACAACAATATTTTCGTAGTGCACATGTCACAGACCTAAAAAGGAGTTTGGGAGGGGGGGGGGAGGAAGGGATTGTCAATAAATAATTGGTTTTACTTCATGCAAATTACCTCCAGAAATTTTCTAAAAAATCAAAGGATATTCTTCTTTGTCCTAGATTTATGGAAAACACTTAGCCTTGATTGAGACTATGCACTTTGCCCTGTGACATTATGGCTCTGTCTTCATAGTTCCACTGGCCCGTCCCCTCCTCTGTAATTCCTACAGCTGTCCTGCCCACTTCTGAGGGAACTCCTCCAGCTTTTGCTGGCCCATTCTCCAAGCAAATTTTGGGTTTTGTTGACTGGAAGATATAGTGCTATTATAATGTTTCCCTTTAGAGTTCCAAAGAGGTCAAAACTACTGCTCACTGGAAAGGAACCCCAGTAGATTCCTTCAGATGGACTGTTAAAGCATTATGGTATACTGCATTTACTAGCATAAGGCTACTTACCAGATAGATAAAAAAACTGAGAGGTAATGGAGTATCATCTTCTAGGAAAAAAGATGCTTTGATTGTTAGGCTGCTTGTTTTTCAAAAGCATTATCTTAGTCTTATCAACATGCTTCTGTAGTTGTATGTCTCTCTGCTTCAGTTTTCCAGGTAGTGGCATGAAGAATTGTTAATAAAAGTTTTTCTGACAGAGAAGCTCAAGTCTCCCTTCTCAGATGAAACAGAATATCCATTTTTTTCACCTTTAGAGTGCCAAATACCAGTTGTATTCAGCAAAGCTGGAAACCAGAACAAAGAGATCTCTAGGCTTGGTATTCTTTTCCTCCAAGAGGCAAATGAGGCCACTGATGCATGAGAAGTAGCGTATCTGTTCCAATCTATGGAGAAATGCCTTTCTTGTTCTCAGCCAGTATTCAGTGTATTATCAACAGAATTCTCTAGAAAAGTTTCCTTTAAGTCTAATTCAATTAAACTTTATGTCAAAACTTATCTTTTGAAAGGCAGCAAATAGAGTCTTCCTCTCCCTCTCTCAGGAACTTTCCCCTAGTCTAGAATTGCATTATATATACCAACCAGCTCTACCCTAGACTTCATCTCAAGGATCTGCGCACAAAACTGTGTGAAGCCAGGAAGCTTCTCATCTCAAGACTGATTAAATTAGGCCTTCCAAAAGACTAGGTTTGACTTCTCATTTCAATGTACTAGCAGAGTTTTGTCCCACTTTTGCTCTTACAAGGCAGAACAAAACTATTAATTGGATTCAGTTTGGTTGCTGACTCTCAGACAATCAGATGACAACATTTATTTTTCTGTGACTGTCTCCAGTTCCCACAGCAATCGCTCCAGTATATTTCCTGTTTTCTTCTTTACTGCCTCAGCCTTCAGGGCCAGCCCCCATTCACAATTAAACTGCACTTTCAGGCTTTCACCTCTCATGGGCTTGATAGCTGTGTAGATCTTCATGACTTTCTTGTAGCTTGTGAGGAGATGTCCAGAGAGGAACGCTGTTTTTGTATCGAAATATGTAGAGGAATAATGCAGTGCATTGAAACCTGCCACAGGAAGACAGAAATCTGAGTCCCAGAGGGCCTCAAGGCTCATTTCACAGAAGTTATGGAAGCTTTGAAGACTTGCTTGGGCAAGATTTCTGTTTCACATATTTGAAAGGCAGCTACCTGGGTCTCTATACATACTCCTAGGGAAAATTGCAGAACAAATAATAACACTTCATCTTGTCTTTATTTGGGGTTACAGAGCTCTGTGGTCACAGTAATCCTTTGTCCGCAATAACCTCTTTTGCAGGTTTCCTTGCTATGCAATTTAACACCCTAATCTACACATTTCAAGCAGTTTTAACATCAAACCACTGCACGGTAGCCACTGCACATTTTGTGGGCATAAATGACTAGCTGAAGAGCCTAAATCATTGGTGAAGGAATGGAGCAGGAGAAGAGGTTTTTCAGCTTAGATTGCTAGTTAAACCTTTGGTTTCTATTTTGGTATATATCACAATTTCACTCTTGGTTGAAACTGGCTTACCTGGTTTTCACAAGCTGGATGCACCGGCCTCTGTATTAGAGGCTTTTGCATCTAATACTTTATTTCTTGAGTATTAAGTGGTCCTTTGTATGTCCCTAACTAATCATCTTAAACCAGCTAAGACATTTGTGTTAGTAGACAGCTGGTGTGCAGCCACAGAATTGCAATAAATCTTTTTTTTCCCCCCTTTTGAATGAGAATCCCTTTTACTTATAAAATGAGTAAACTGTCAGAACAAAAGATTCTCGTCAGTCTGATCAACATCCCAAATAACTTGCTTATAAATTCAGCCGTTGCTTCTGAAGTAATGAGTGGTATAGCAAAAAAGTCTTAATTTCTTCTTCGCCTCATCTGCAGGATGAAAGACTAAATTATGTGTTCAGTCGGTCTTGTGATCTGTGGAAATCAACTTAAAACTTCTTTAACATTATGCACCCATTTTTGTTTTCAACCCGAAATTTCCAGATTTCCTCTCTTGTCCTGTCCATGTCCTCCAATCACATTTGTACTTGCGTAGCCCTTGGACTCAAAAGGGGCTTCCAAAATGAGCAGCAGATCAGCAGCTTTAGTCTAAAGAGTCTGAAGAGCGTTCTTCAGAGCCTGAAGAATGCTATGGGTATACCTGAGGGTGAGGTTTGGCTCAGTTTGGTGTTTTCCTTTTACTATTTATTTCTAAAAGAACAAACATAAGTGTGTTTCTGACTGACTTCCACTACTATCTTTCTTCTAGAGACATTGATTTTCTCTCTTTTTCAGAGAAATAGCTTTCCGTAAGCCAATTTGTAACTCATTTACAGCTGGTACTTCTCCCACACTTTCTCTGCTCATGTCCTATACGATACCTCTCTCTCAAACACATGCGTCACATGACATGAATATTCATTGGATTCTCCTGTTGCTTGCATCATTTTATGGTGCTTCCAGTGTTTTCACACTACAAATGGTTGCTGTTTGCCAGCTGCTGTCTTGCCATCCTATTCTCTCTTTGTGTTATTCCGGCAGTTTTCTCAATCTTCAGGTACCCCTAGCTGGTCCTCCCTTTCCGCTATCACAAATTCATTCATTCTGCCTCTAAAGCTATATGGCACCAGGGAGCATCTACCACCTACTCATCTGGCAACCTACAGTACGCACTGTTTAAACATGCCATCGTTCCTACCACTGCAGTGTAATAGTTTCTGTTACCATGGCCAAGAACAAACGATGAAAAATGCTTTACATCTGATGCTCAGCGTAACATCTATTATATTTTTCTTCAGAAATGTCTTATTTCTCCCTCACCTGCCTTTGTGAATAATCAGCTGTACTTTGGGTTCAGTCAGCTGCTCAGTTCTCCTATCACTAGGACCGTTAGGATCATCTCCGCTTCTATCTTCTGTTCTGCTAACCTGTTATATACTCTGAGTAAACAAACATGGTCAAACTACGTTGCAGGGTTTTTAAATAAGATGAAGTAGCCCTTTAAAAGCCTAAATAATAGATTTTATAACTCTGTTTCTAAAATACATGGTTGATTTAGCTTTGTGACCCATGAGAAAAATGCATTTGCAACAACCTATTTTTTAAATCATCAAAATAAGAATGAGCTGTTACAAATGACTACCAAAACGCTCTGGATTTTTTTCAGGTTTTGAGTTTCGTCCGTACAGAATGGGATCCACTTGATGCTAGCTTTAGCACTAATCAGCCTTATCAGGTTCACACAGTAGAGCACTCCATCTCTGCAGACAAAGAGCCCATGGCTGACAGCTGTGTCTACGAGTGTGTTAGGAACAAAATTCAGTGTGTGGCGGTCACCAGAATACCTCTAAGAGCAAAGGCCATCAGCTGCTGCAGAAACATTACAGAAGACAAACTAGTCCTGGGTTGTGAAGATTCGTCAATAATTCTATATGAAGCCTACAACAAAGTGACTCTGTTAGCTCAAGCAGAACTACTGCCTGCTTCAATAAGCTACCACCCTTGTGGAGCAGTATTCCTGGTTGGCAGCTCTCAAGGGGAGCTGCAACTTTTTGACACAGCACTGTCCCCAATTAAAATGCAGCTTTTGGCAGAAGACTACTCACCTGAGACAACTTTGCAATTCAGTAAACACTTTGACGTGTCTAGCAGCCTCATCCAGATACAGTGGGCTGCTCCTCAAGTTGCATCTCCCCGCACTGAGGGCACAGATATTCACGATCTTTTGTTGGTTAGATTTGACAAAGGACCCTTAGGAGTACTTCGCTTTAAACTTGGTAAGTCACTAAGCACATCCACTGAACCTTATGCTCTTGAGGAAACATCTGTACCTCACAAATTTCTTAGTTTGAAAACTCCTTTAGAGTTTTTTGAACCCTCATTTTAGATACGTGGGCCCAAAGCACCCAATTCCAATGATCTTCGAAGATGTGAACCAAGTAGGTCCTTATGTTTCACACATCACTTCCTTCAAGACTTTCCACAAGAAGGAAAGATTTCACAGCTTTCAGAGAAGGCTGGTCTCTCAGTCAACTTACCAGGAGTTGTAAATCAAAGAAGCAGTACTAATACTCATTTTAGAATTTATATAGCACTTCTCACTTTACACATTAGGTGTAAAAAGGCTTTAAGAGAGCAAAACTATAGCTATCTCCATCTTACAAATAGAATAACAAGAAGTGGCAGAGGAAAGCTAAAAAGCTTTCCCGGAGTTACACAGAGAGACAGTGGCTGAACCAAGAATAAAACCCCTGCAGTTGCTCGTCACTTGAGAACTGGATTCATTCCATTCAAGTCAGGCAAGTTACAGTGATGCAAGCCCATTGTGAGAGCTAAAAAACAATCAATCATGCTTAAATCTTCTGACCACCAGTCCAGTGTTTTTCACATGACAAGCAGCCATGTCAAATACACTCATCCTGGAAAATTTCGGCATTTTGCCCCTTGTCTGCCCAAGAAAATAGAATTACCTTTGTAGCTCCTTACAGAAATATTTGTGATTATTGTGTGTACTGAGATGAAGAAGAATATATATATTTTTTAAGCTAGGTGAAAGTAAGGTTTGAAACCCTACGTTAATTCTTTTTTTTTTTTTTTTTTACTAACTGATACACATATCTGCTTTTGTGGAGGAAAATCCTGTTTAAAAGTACTGCAGACTTAAACATTTGAAAGCCTGCATTTAAAAAATGTAACTAAATATGCCAGCGCAAACAGGTAAATTAATATCATTGAAAGTTAGCAACAAAAAACGTTGGATTGACTTGTATATTTCTAAAAGAGCTGCTCCAGATTATTAGTTATCCAAAATACTATTAAAAAACTGTTTACAAGTTGTCATTTATTTTGAGATAAGTCTGCTCCATTATGTTCAATGACAGGTTTAATAGTTGCCGAGTACCCCAGACCATTAATTAATACAGCTATTTGATGGTTTTGTGCATGTTGGCCATTAAAAAGCAACAACAACAACTCGAAATTACCTGTTACCTGTCAAGCAGAAGGCACTCTACCCACGTCTACCTTGCTTTTCTTCAGTTCTCCCTTGTGGGGTTTGTTCACAACAGCTTTCCAGAAAGCACAGCTTTCCCCTTGCTATCTTTAGCGCATTTATGTTCTTACTAAGGCAAGCAGGCTCTCAGTGCAGGGATTTAGAGGCCTTTCCTGCTAATTGCCAGCTTGTAAACTTAATTGGACTGTCTCCCTGGGCACCGTTCCTAAATCAATTAGGCAGCGAGTTGGCTGTCGCCTGTTTTTCCCAAGTAGGTTGCCTGGAAGCGCACCACCCAAGAGAAGTCAAGCATCCAAATGGGAAGATGTTGACCTCTACAGCTGAAAGTTATCATATTTTAAAATTCATTCTGTATAATTACTGTAAAATCTCATCTAGGAAGAAGGCAAAGCTCTCCCTATCCTTCCTCCCCCAGCCCTGTAACAAAAAGTGTGCTGTTCTCTATAGCATCTTGGTTTTCAGATTTTCCTCTCTTTTTCTCAGTCTGCCACGCTACCAAACTAATGCTGTGCTGATTAGTCAGCCTCTCTTGCCAGGCTCAGCAGTTTTTAAGGCTGTGTTACTTAATAAATAATACAAATACAAATTATACTGAAAATTTAGGGGGTCTATGAGAGAAAAAAAAACAGGCATGCAGGACTGAAATAGAATCTGTCATTAGCTCATGCTTTTGTATATGTGCTGTGTAGCTCATGTGCTACAGTAGAGCATTCAGTCCGTAAGGCAGCCCAGCAAAGTAACTCAACTCGACCAAATAGGTGAAAAGTGAATTTGAGGACTCTGGACATGCTTAAAATTAGGCTTCTGCTTAGAACCACTGCTGAATGAGCAGATATATTCCCAAGTTTTGCCTTTAATATTGTAAATAGGGTAGGATTGCTGCTGTAGTTTTATCAGTAGATACAAACACACACAAAAATTTCAAAGTAATAGTGCAGAGTCTGTGAGTATTTGATTCTGTCTCTGCAGTAATCTACTGCTCTTTTAGAATAAACTACTCTTACTGGAACTTCAGAGTCCTCGATTTTTGCCCTTCCAAAATAGTGGATTTTTGGATCCTACAACCCATCACTGCACCTTACATAGCAATTTTTTAAATTTCTTCAAGCAAAGAAAGATCTCCCACAGATACAGTTGAATGCAACTCCTGTAATTGATTCTGGACTGTGTAGTTTTACTAACTAACTATGTATGTATGGCACCATAGGTAACATCTATTCTTTGGGATACATGCAGCTGTAAAATCCCTTATTTTTATCGTTAATAAATTACATCAACATTCTTTGAATTGTTTCCCATAAAAGTCTATTAATAAACTATGTAAATGAGAACAGATAAATGCATTTTTAACTTCCACCTGCCATATTACGATTTTGGACAAGATCCGTGAACTCTCCATTGTGTTGTCTAGCCAGATATATTTTAGGAAAAGATTCATCTTAAACTTACCCTCAGCCATTAATGGCAAATGTTTTTGGTATCTAATGCCAAATTTATTTTTAAAAGCGTTGTGGCTTGTTGTCATTGATGACAACCCAGATCTTGGATAATGCCATACTTAGTAATATTGCCAGTGGTTCATCATTGCTGGCCTAGAGAGAGATTCGAAATATAATATTAAATTTAATTAACATGTAAATAAGTATTTTCATCTTCACTTTGTGATTAATGTGAAGAGTGCCCAACTAATGTAATACTTGAAAAACACTAAACATTTATGGAGAACAAATTCTAACATAACAGTTAGATATTATCACAGATGTACATACGTTAAACATAGCTATTACACAGTATAATGTCCATAATCTTTAATATATACAAAGTGAAATGCAACCTGTCTTTTCTTTAATGATACTAAAAAATAAAATATTTCTTTGTTACAAGAAATAAAAAAATAAGTTTTTTCCCAAAGCATTTGGTCTGTATTTGCACTTTCGTAGCAGGTTATTTGTCCTTAAGCTATAGTCAGATTTTTTCCTCCTCCTTCTTTTTCTCTATCCTTATTTTCCATCACAAATATCATTCATAACTACATTTACGAAACATTTTTGAAATCTGTTTTCTATATCTTAGTTTATTCTTCCCTGTTATCAGGTTTTTTTTCCCCAGCTATTCTGTGACTTTAATATCAGTGTTGAAATTCAGCTTGTTCCCTTTCTTATCAGAATTTTTTCCTTAAAATCAGCCTTGACAAACAATATCGAAATATTAGATTGATTAAATCTAAAAAATAAAATTATTTTTAATTAAAGAGAGGGAAACAGAAAATTTGTTCTGTTTCTGATACCTGGGACAGCATTGATTGATAAGCAATACACTAGCACAATAACTCAAAGCAAGGAAGAATTACTAAAATGCTATGCATGGCCTACTTCTCATGATCATTTAGCTAGTCTGAGACAATAAATAACATTACACTCTGAAGCTTTTCAGTAACCTTCTCTGTTCAGAAGTTGAGATCTAGTCAAGAAAATTTGAGAATCTGTTTTAATTTTTACTTTTTAGAGACTGAATGTTGTAGATAAATCATGTTCTCATGGAGTGGGCATTGTGTTGCTGATTTTTCTCACTCATAGTAGGCATATTTTTGGTTCCGTGTGTACCTGTAATTCAACAGTCCCCAGACGTTCACATTGTTTACAATGTGCCTTCACAGAAGAAAAGCCTCACCTAGAGAATTTTGCCAAGCTAGAACTAAGGTCTAGAGGAGTAACAATATGGAGAGTACCAGAGTAACTGTTTCTTTGAAGTCTGAGCTGGTGTAAGTTTGGTTAGTGTACATAGGTACCTATTTTTTAGTGTTGTCCGGCAATATTCTCCTACAGGAAAGAGGTGCTAGGAACCTGAATTTATCAACAGATAGGAATGCCTCCGATAAAGATAAACTGGGAATAAGCTTTTTTAACCACGTTTAAAACAAACTTCATCGCATGTTTTCACTAGTAGGTACTGATCACGTTCACCCACCCTCCATGTGTGAAGTTCGCTGATGGTTTTTCTCCGGTGTCCCAAGATATTAAAGAGCTATATCACATAAATGTTTAATCATGAAACCCATTAATTTAAACTTTTTAATTTTAACCATACTCAATTATTTTTAACTGTGCTGAAAAGTAGTCAACTACCGCTTTACACACTCATAACACGGTCTTTGGTTTTAATATTTCCTGTGATAGGTGTGATCACAAGAGGACAGCTGGGTCTTGTGGAAATCATACACCAGTACATTCGTTACGAGGAGATACATGAAGCAATTAGTGTCCTGAACACCATGAACTGGAACACGATGGGTCGTCAGTGTTACATGAGCTTGACTGCCATTGTAAATCACCTTCTTAAACAAAAGCTTACACCAGAAAGAGAAGGTCAGGATTGATTATATTTTTAATATATTTTTGTGGGGGTCTTTGTAATTCATATGTGGGTTTTGACTGTATATTTACTGACCTTAAAAAGAAAACAATAGCAAGAAACCAGACAGTCAGGATTAAGGTACTCTATAATCAAATGTCATTAATTTCGGAAACAGTTGGATCAGCATGTTGATTGCACTTTAATTCAGATTTGTGTCAATAGTAATACTAAAATAACGCGTATTTTAAGGTATATATTGTATGGGTATGACTTAATACATGTATAGCAATATCATATGTGCTATAACATCATTATATTATATAAATTTAGCTTATGTAATTTTTGCTAGTGTAGGATTGAATGTGTCTGTTATATTCATACTGAGACAGTGCCAACTTAAAGAGGGACAGTCTCCTGTAACAGGGACAAGAGGTTTTAGCATGGTTTTTAAGGTGCTTCTGAAGGGTGATTCTTCCATTTAGAACACCCAAAGATTTTGAATACACTGTCCTCTGCTGCCTCCTTTAGGATTATAGCATTTGTCCTCACTGTAATCTTCTGGCCCTCTGCAGTAATAGCTGATGGTCCCTAACAACAAATGATGAAGATTTTGGTTTCAGCTCGATTTTTGCTGAACCCTGATGTGGTGCCTTCCTCCTGAATTGCTGTATATGTTGAAACTCAATAGACTTTGAGATTTCAAGTGCATTGATTTAGTGGGTAGGTGTTATACCACAGTCTAGGAGGAAGGCAGCTGGGGAGCAGGCATCCTTTTGTGGCAAGAAAGAATACTTAGGAATGTGGTGTGTTAGATGATAGAAAAACTCCAAGGTGTCCCATATTGCTGCCAAGCCAGCAGCTATCCATTTTATGGGATCAGATTAAAAAATCTCTGCATTACAAACATAGAGTATCAATTCTAAATAAAACATACTTTTAAAAGGATCCGTGAAAAGGGCTGGTTTTGCAACTCTTGTAAAAATATGCATGTTATGAATTGATGTCTGCATGTTTCCCCCCATGCAACTCCCTAACACTGTTTACAGCAGACAGAATTTTATTTTACCCAGGATTTATTCTATATGAATCTAACAAATCTGACGTGGTAATTTGTTTTCTTTTTATTAGCGGAACCCAGTGAGGCCTTTTATTTGTAGCGATGTGGCAGTTATCTTTGAGATCTTTATTCTGCCTTCAACATCAAGCTGGGCCATCTAATGAATCTATAACTGTGCTAGTAGTTACTCGTATCCCATGTAGGTTGAAGCTTTTCAAAAGTACAAAACATGCTGTCAGGAAAACAGCAATGGCAAGAGAGTATGGCTTGTTTTTGCAAAGGTACTGTTGTATTCAATTTTAATCTAAGTTGACTGCTGCTTTGAAAGAAAATACCTGTAAAGTTCAGCTTATCTTACTGTCTAGATTTAAGATAATGCAAAACCTAATTTAGTAACAGTTTGCCTAGGTTGCTAACACGGTACTATTAGCACATTCAGTGTTATCAAGCTTAATAAAATAAATATAACTATGCTGAAGAACCTTATACTAAAGAACCACTATCACTAATACAAAAATGGCTAATTCAAACGAATGTTAATAACAGCAAATCAATGCGATTTTTGTTTGCCTAATGAGACAGTAATTTGGTTATATTCTTCTTTTAAAGCCTACACAAAATTCTGACTAGCAGTAACAGTTGGCTCACCCACCCTGAAAGGAGAACCTATGCTGGTACATCATATTCTCCCTCTGATTTAAGAGTGAAACTTCTATCAGTCATTTTGTTCTGCATGTAAGGGCTTGTACTATGCATTAACTTTCTATCAGAAATCACACAGCAATAAATATTATTGATCGTTAAATTTCCTTTCAGCTAACCATTTGAGACACAAACATGTACTGTGTGTTTTCACATATTATTTATGATTTTGTATTAAAAATGTGTAGAAAAATGCCTAGAAGCCACAGTTAAGGAGTACAGCAGGTCAGAAAGCATTTAAAGTGGAGAGCATCTCGGTAACAAAAGAGCTTTATTTTATTGATTACAAGGGAGGCTATCCTTTTTCCCACCACTACAAGCTGTAGGACAGTCAAACCTACAGGGTTTCTAGACCCTTTTATTTAAAGTTTTTAAAGAATTATTGGCTGAAGGAGGTTCCTTAGACTTGAAGGCAATCACAAGAAAGGTTCTGTCACCTGCTGACCTAACACATAACAATAATCCCTGAAAAACTGAACTTTGTTGTTGTTTCCTTAAGAGGACAAAGAAAATTTGAGCTAATTGAGAGTTAATCTCTACTGGACAAGCTTGTTCAAATTGTATTACTCTTATGAGTCACTTTTAATTGTATGTTTCTGGTGTGAACTTGATGTGTTATAGACTTCTTCACCCTTTTGACAGCTTTTGTTGCTCAAACTCATTCTCAGCTCTGCCTCAAGTGAAAGTTTATATGCACATTTGTGTTCATACAAGCTGTCATATTTTAATTTCATCTGTACTGTAACGACATCACATTTCGTCAGTGTTTGAGGAATTTGACTGACTGCAAACATGAACAACCTGTTGTAATTGAAACCGTTTCACTTGTTTCATTGCTGCTGCATTTGAACTCCACAGCACAGCTTGAGGCAAGCCTGGGAACCTTTTATGCTCCAGCAAGACCCCTCTTGGATGCAACTGTGTTGGAGTACAGGGACCCAATCAGCAGATATGCAAGAAGGTTCTTCCACCATCTGCTCAGGTGAATGACAGTTTCAACTTCTATCAGCTTAAAATTAATTGCATATTTCAATAACTACCTACTTTAATGTGGTTAACATTTTCCAAGAGGACCACCCCTGAAAAAAATGCATTCATTGTTGTTTGTTTAACTTGCACTTCGTTCCTTTCAAGTACAGTATTGCAGATAAAATGCTATTCAGAGCTCTTCTATCATCAATGCACTTAAAATGAATCACCTTTTCCCTTTTAGCTTGATAGAAAAAAGACAGCATGCTTCTGAGAGATTTATTCACCAACTGCTTTCAGATTAACTATTGAAACAACTTACAAACTTGAAGAAAATGCTGAGTTTAAATAGATGCTAAAATGCAAATGAACAGTGTGTGGTCCAAGACATTTTTGCCTTTGCACCCTTGAAATGAGCATTTTGTTATTCTCACCTTCATGGTTCTCATATAGAAATTCATATTCCACTAATTTTCAGCAAAAAGAAACTCTGTTCTGAATGATAACCAAGATGCTTGTAACTCCTTGTTGAGGACGAGTCTAGATGGACATAGTGAAAAAACTTCTAATGCGCCCCTTTTCTGTGTTTCACGCAAATGATATCCATTGTCTGCATCATTGTCTGCATAAGCAAAGTTATGAACTGGGAGTTACTTCAGTGGTAAAATGTGTGCTTCTTTCAAATATTAAAGAGAAATATATGACGCTGTCTTCTGAGTCTGAAAAAGATCATCTTTCTGCTAAACCAGTCCATACCAATGGGCACATTATTCTAAGTAGGTGAATGCTCACAATATCCAAATAATAGGTACCAGTCTTTCACTGGAGTTTTGTTAATAGACGTGACCACGATGCTGGGTGCGAACTCTGCTTTTGCCTTTCTCCTATAAACCAGCAGGGATGATCTGTTGCTGCAACGGCCGAGAGGAATGACTGTGGGCCAGTTGCATGCAGAGGACAGATGCAGAAAGAATGCCTCCAAGATTGCTGAGAGGTGTAACTATAGTGCTTTTTACATCTGCTAGAGAAAGGTGTATTCCCTGTGAGACTCAGGATTTGCTTCCAAATGCTAGCAGGCATGCAGAGGCATGGGGCCCTGGCTAAGCTTTCAAGCCTTCAGGCTGCTGAACACAGCTGAAACACTGACTCAAACCCCCTAGCAAACAAGCCTCAGTGTCAGAATGCTGCCTGGACAGTGCAGGACAGAGACAGGAGGCAGATAGGAGAATCTCTCTCCCCATGCCTTGTACTTCCGCCATGAAGCAGCCCTTTAACAATCTAGCATTGTGGCCATTTT